TAGGCGCCATCGCTACCACCGCCAATCCCTTCTTCACGGCCTCCGAAATCCGAAAACAAGCCGCCGCCTCCTCCGCCCGCCACATCATAACCGACACATCCTCCGCAAACAAAGTCCGCTCCATTGACGGTATTTTAACCATTATCTGCACCGGCGAAGACTCCCCTGAAGGCACCATGCCTTTCAACGACTTACTAAAGCACGATGCTCTGCTTCACGATGATTATGATGAAAAATCCGATTTTTGCCCGGATGACGTTGTCGCGCTTCCTTACTCTTCGGGAACCACCGGCTTGCCTAAGGGAGTCATGCTGACGCACAAAGGAACCGTGACCAGCATATCACAGCAAGTTGACGGAGGCGAACAGAACGTGCATCTGTATTACAATAGCGAGGATGTGATGCTCTGCCTTTTGCCGATGTATCATATATACTCGCTGGTGACGGTGCTGTGCTGCGCGTTGAGGGCAAAGGCGGCTCTGGTGATTGTGAGGAAGTTTGATATGAGGGGAATGATGGAGATTATACAGAGGTATAAGGTGACGGTGGCTCCCCTGGTGCCACCTATAGCGGTGGAGATGGCGAAGACGACGGCAGCGGATGCTTATGATTTGTCGTCGGTGAGGATGGTTATATCTGGGGCGGCGCCGATGGGGAAGGAGCTTGAGGATGCTATTCGGGAAAGGATGCCGAATGCAATGATCGGTCAGGTGGGGGGCTGATTCGTTTTCTTTTTAAATTATGATTTAATTAAATGATTTTTATCGTATTTTTATGATAAAAGTTTTACTTGACAATTATATGAGTTCATTCTAATTAAATTTAAGTTGTGATTGAAATTTTTTTGAAATTTTACTCTTTGGATGTTTATTTTATAGTGCAATTTTTATCAGTATTTCTGAATTTGTCTCCAAATCAAAGTAATTGGCTCGATTAGGAGTGTAACTATTGTGAGTCTAGTTCGAGTCATCCTTGACTTGAGCTTGAGCTTGTGCTTGTGCTTGTGCTTG